TTTTAATAACCAGTCTAAGGAAAGGCGCAGGCATATCAATGCGCACATACACCACACTTTGTGTTCTCTACTTTGTAACAGAAAGTAGTACCACAAACTATAAACTGATTTTACTAAATACATAACACTACCTGACCATTGTTGTTGACCATGCCTTTGTAACCATTGTGTACCAATCTTCTGATGGCTGCTCACTGTACTCACATGGCCTCCATAATCTCCACATCTCACTCCAATAGAGCACCACTGGGCTATGATAGAATGGGAGATTCTCATCATGGATACGCGGCCGACAAATCTGCAGAAACTCTCAGAAAATTTGGTCAATATGTACCAAATTCTCTGAGAAGTGTTTCCAGCACCTTGTTGAATCTGCACCACGAAGGGAAAAGTCCAACCTGGTACGAGCAGGGTGTAACGCAGCTGTGGGGAATTCCAGGCCTCAAGGGCTGGTGTCCTGCAGGTTTTAGATCTCACCCTGGGTCAACACACCTGAATCAAATGATTAATTCATTACCAGGCCTCTGGAGAACTTCAAGACATGTTGAGGAGGTAATTTAGCCATTTGAATCAGCCGTGTTGGATCAAGGACACATCTAAAACCTGCAGGACACCGGCCCTTGAGGCCTGGAGTTCCCCCACCCCTGGTGTAATGCATGAAGTGGCCAGCGAGTGTAGATTTCCTTCCTTGATTAAATACGTAAATAAGTGCCATTCGTGAATGCACCATTCTGCCAAGTTTCAAAGCTATGATATCATCTGTGACACATATGCAGTCACAAATCTGCAGACACCTTTCAGTGAGGTGTGTTGTGCAAATGACACCAGCTATGAGCCATATTCTCCCCCCAAGTTTAATCACATTCCCCTCATTGATTGTCAAATTAATTTCAGCTTCAAGATCAGGACAGTCAAATAACTGACATGTCAATGGGCAAAAAGAGAGCGATACATGGGAATCGTTTAGAAGAACAGGAGACACAATTAAGTTTAATCTACCATGGTTGCCCATTAGTCCAACATAAACTTTATTCCCCGAGCATACAGAGAGCATGAAGCTAAAATCAGTGGCTCATTTATAAGACTATTAACCAATACTGCTACCTGTGAAGGTCGACAAGAGCCGCTACAGTTTTATTATCCTGTAATGACACCTTGTCTTGCTGACATCATCCTTCTCTTTCCTCTCTTTACGTATCAGTGCATGCATTCTTTCCCCAGTTTAGCCCTACCCCCCGTCTACAGGGCTGTGTATCACATCAACTGTATAAAATCAAATAGCAGCTGTTGCTCATAGTTTCATTAGTGAGTCTGTGAATCTCCTTTCATCTTCTAATGATAAACATTAAAATATTTTCCATTTATGCATTTTTTTCCTCAAATGAAGACTATTTAAAAGTCATCTTGGGATATTTATGCAAATATTTATCATATCAAATGAAAAGTTATGATCCTATGTTGACTGTTTTTGGGATGCAGCAGCCTTGACCTTATCAACCCTTTTATACTCATCCTGTTCACTCTTACTGTGTAACTCTCCACTCCCTCCGCCTGGTAATCTAGACACAGGAATGACCCAAATCCAGCTAACTGTTGCTCCTCCTTTTCCAGACTCTCCAGTGTAAATGTTTTCTTAAAGGTTTCTGAACAGTGTGGGAGACAATAATGGATGTAATCTAAATGGGAAGTGCGTATGATTCATTCCCTTATACAGTCTTTATATCACAATATATGACAACATCTAAATACATTAATAATTTTTAAAAAAAGCATCCCTGTCTCTACTAAAACAGGAGCATTAGTCAGTCATGCACGCAGCTCAAACCAGAAGGCCTTTTTCTTTTGCAAATAATTATTTAGAGATGCTATTTTGCTGCAGGATTTTAAGCAAAACACTTTGAAGTTGTTTAAGACATGACATACAGAGGGGTTTCTTTTTTTTTCAGCCCAAGTGGGAGAACTCTGCATGGAACATAAGAAGGATTAGGTGAGGAGTGATTCCCCCCCCATCTTTCTTAAATCACATATCAGCGAGAGTAAGAGAGTGAGTGAGAAAACACTCTGCACAGCAGTCTAGGCGAGAGGCCAGTGGCTCGAGGGTAAAAGAGCGAGTGCAGAGAACAGACTGAGAATATTATTCAGCTCAGAGATGGCTAAAAGAGAGAGGGAGACGGGATGAAGGCTGTTTAAGATGAAGGAAGGAGGAGGCAAAGGAGAATTTGTGAGGGAAGGGTAATCACAGGTTTATCCAGTGTGTGCGTGTCACTTACGGGTGTAGATACTAGTCCAGAGTCAGGACTTTGGTCCACAGACAGAGGTGTGCCTGTAACCCTGAATTCAGAGCCATGGGATGAGTGGGATTTGGGGAAACTGCCAGTGAGTGTGTTCACACCTGAAGAGCTGAGAAAAGGGGGAGAAAAAAAATAAAAAGAGAGACAATAATTATCTCATCTTCCATCCCTGTTTGAAGTGGAGCTGTTCTTTGGTAATGTAATCCCTGGTGTGTGCTAAAACCCTGACCACCGACCGAGTGGTTAGGGTTACACTGAACTGGGCCCGACAATGCAGATTAGGACCCGTTGCCATAGCTCCAGAGGACACCTGAGCAGGTGCTATTAGGTTATCATAATCTGTGTCGGCAGGGGGTAGCTGGACCCTCTATAATTGATACTGCATGCCCTGTGGCGGTGTGCTAAATAGTTATCATACAAAAGAACTGCGTAGATGATACTATATTTATTTATTTATATTTAATTAAATATATATAAATTAAAGGATTTTTAAATGTTATACCTATGTTTTAAGCTAAATTGGCTTCGTTTTTTTCGTACATATTCGAGGTCCAATAAAAAATATAGAGAGCAAATAAACCGAGGGTAGTAATAGAGACTATTACTGTGATGAACTAAATGAAATGCCAGGCAGAGGTAAGACGACTGTTAAGGATATTATCTCAAATTTTCGAGTTACTGACTTCAGTCTAAATTTCGACGACTTTTTTTTAAATTTTATTGTTATTATATTTTATTTTTTCAGAAGAAACAAGCTTCCACATTTCATTGTAGCCATTTGGTTATGTCACTGAGGGCTAAAGCCTTCAAGTGTTAGCAATGGCATTAATGAAGGTTTCTCCCTATTTAGGTAGAAAACCTTAATTAATGGGCAAATTATTTCACATCACACAAGGTGCACTGAATGAAAAAGCTACACTGACGGGCGTCACAGAGTGAAGCTGGTGTCTGTCATGCAGACATAGCTGATTCGCCTTACCTTTCTGACATGTCCCAAGAGCCTTGTGATGAATTTTCCCGGCCTTCTTTAGCACATTGCGGACGGCTCGCTGTAGCCCTGCAGCCCCGTGGCTGTTACCCATGGAGCCCGCCGTGTTTGTTAGGATTCACCCAGCGAGAGTTGACCGTCCTGCTGGCCGGCTGTGGCTCTGCAGAGAGAGACTGACAGCAGTGTGGGCCCAGAGCCGGAGCTGCCAAGGGCGCTGCTCAGGCTTATCACTCAGGACAGGTAGAAATTAGAGCAGAGTGCGCGTGAGGGCCGCACCACGCGCTCGTGAAGCTGTTATTCAAAGTTCAAATGGATTGTGACAGCTAGTATAACGAAGGCTTTTCAAAAGTGACAAAATCACAAATGAGCCTGCTGAAACGCAAGTTTTTGTCAGAAAAATGTGACCTAGTGATCTCTAGTTCTTTCTTTCGTCTTTTTTTGCCACACAGCCTCCTCCTCTCGTTTTCTCAAGCAAATGCCTGCCCAAGCAATACCTCGACATATAACTATTTACAAAGTGTGTCAACTCTAAGGCAGTTTACATATGTGTGTAAATTACTGTTAATGTTCACTCGGTATTGTAAACCTTTTGGAAGGCTGACCATGCATTGCATTTTGTGAGTTCAATTGTAGCCACAAACATGATTATTATCCCTCCTGCTGCTGGCACACATCAGTGGAATAAATCTATAAAGCCAGACCAAACAATAAAACGAAATTCTCAAAAACAAATTACTTTGCATCTCTGCAAGTATTTAACCAGCAACTGTCCAAATAGACAGCAGCTAGAGAAAAGTCTTTGTATTTTCTTGTAGTTTCTGTACACTATGGGGCAGAAGAGGTAAGAGAGGAGCACACAATGAAGGTATATGGAGCAGATATCATCGCTGCTCGTTTAAGACGTTTAGATTAAGAATACCTTCTTAAACCCGTGGACTATTGTTTCTCCATAGTTTATCTTATTGAGTTTAACATTTAATAGTGAATCTCACTTCTCACAGTTAAGTGAAAACACTAGGAACTACTCAGCAGTGTGGAAATGAGTCCTTGTAACTTTGCATAGAGCTTTGGCTTATTGTTAGCTGATTTAGTGCTTCCGATGGACAGACTCATTATATGATAATCTTCCTAAATAACTTTAAGAAAGCCAACTTCATTTTGTGTGGCAAACGTAACAAAAGATGTGCACATAAATATTACATATAAACACATTACATATAAACAAAAGGAAAATATTTTTTAATCAGGATTCTTTTATTCTATTTCAGATATATTAAAATACCGACAGTTTCCTGAGTACCTGATCGTGATCATGACCAGCAGCATGACCAGAGCACAGGTCTCACTCCCTTCACCAGCTACATGATCTGCGTGCATGTGTGTTCAGGAGGGTTATGCAGGCTTGAAATAATTCCAAGATGCCTTTGCTGGAAAACGACTGGCTAAACTCCAAAGGCTTCAATGGCTAAAGCATTGCGTGTTTATCATTCACTCACTCGTTTCTTAAAAGACACAGCTGGAGCTGGTTTGGCGCATTAGTGGTTATGCAGCTTTAGAATTAGGGAAAGGCCTGTTGTTTACAATCTGCATAAGCTGTCGTGTCCTTGAATTAAAAGTGCGTTTAACTTTTGGTAACACTTTATAACACCGCCCACGATGAAAGTCGTAATTCCCCAGCACCTAAATCAGATTTCAACATTTTTAATATAATATAGTTATATTTACATGCAAGTACATTCGAATAAGGAGCTAAGAAATCATGTTTTTGCTGGAAACAAATAAACAATTATACTGTAAGTAAATTTAAGCACTGCATAATTTCCTGGTAATTTAGTGGAAATTAACATACATATGTACATTGCACATTTTGGGGTGTGGGCTGTATCATGGAGTGGCTTAACCTGCTTAACTATTATTACAGGAGAGGAGACACACATTATACTCCAAGTAATTTTATTACACCTTGAGTAAAAATGGACAATTGAATAATAGAGAAATCAATTATGCACATCAATTTAATAAATATCAAATAAGAATATATAAAAAAGTAAAGATGTAAAAATGTAAGTTTAAGCCACTCCAAGGTAACAAGGGGAAACTGTTTGTTTTTCCACAAAATTACCAAGAAAATAGACAGTACTTAAAATTATTGATGCAGTCCTTAAAATGACTCCTTAAATTTACTTACAGTATTATTATTTAAACCTTTAAAAAAAGCATGTTAATATATTTACATTTCATTTTAAAATTAAAATGGACTAAAATTCCATTTAATTACACCCTTAGTTGCATGATGTATTATAAAGTGGTACCTACCTTTAAAAAAAACAAGACAGCAAACAACCTCTACACACAAAGAAAGTGGTACATTTTAATGGGAACACATTCATGTTTTTATTGAATAAAATACTCAATACAGCTGGTGTTACTGTTTCTCCCTGTATGTACATCCAAAGCAGTGCAGCAGATCTTGTTCAGCGCACCTGCATGCTCCAGTCACTCTCTAAAGCAACCGCTTTAGCAAGCTTTAAGACGCCCAGCTGGGTCTTAATCAACCACTCTGATGTGATAAGGCATATTAGTTCATTAGCAGTGTAGCCATGTGCCTACAGTGTAAAAATGTCTCAATACTGTCTGGAACAGATATATTACTAAGATTTATCATATAAGGACAAAGTGTTTGCACATGTTTATTCTGCAATAAATATTGAGCATATATATATGTATATAGAACACAATGTCAAATGTACAGGGATGTAAGTTAAAGTAAATATTTCCAAAGAGGAAGGGTTTTGTGCATTTTGTGGGCATGAGTGTGAGTGAGTATTAAGCTGCTGAACTTAAAAGGGTTGTGCACGAATTACATCCCAGGTGTACTTCCAGCTCACATACATACAAACCCTACTTTACTAGAGAATATTTACAGCTTCCTCTTTCTGTACGTCTCTATCCAGGAATTTAAAGCTCCCAGTATCAAAACACAGCCACGTAACGTGTCAAATGTCATGTTTCAATATATAATATATCATATAATATTCAGCTTATAGATCTATTTTTTTTTCCATAAAGAGTATAAAACACAGCTGAAGATGGTGACACAAGATAGGTAGCATTTATGACGTCAGGATCTGATTGGCTGAGACTGTGTGACCTCATGTCACAGTTACATGGAGTCAAAGTCATGGTCGTTGGGATCGATGATCTCAGGAGTCATGACTCTGCCCATGAAGAGGATAGACCCTGGAGGAAGACAAAAACAAAAACGTATCCCTTATATGTACCAGCTTACTTAAAATATGTATTTTGTAGGTGATGCATAGACGCACAAACCACAGATTACTTGTATTTTCACACACAGAGATTCACGCACCTGTTCTCCTGTTTCTGATAATGAAGAAGAATGGGTGATCAGCCATGACCTGTGGGTACAGGACCAGAGTCCTGGTCAGGGCAATCATTCCTAAGAAACGGGGGGGGGGAAGAAACATCAACATTTATTCACAACAAAATGCCATGCATTTAGTCATGTGTGGACTAAAACACAAAAATCTACCTGAACCAACAGCTCCCTCTGCCCCCTCCTCTGTCACCTCCAGGTAGGCCTTCTGCACCGCTTTCCCAATGTACAGATCCTCAACATCTGGATAATGTACACAGAAAAAACACAGCACTTTATAAGATGTATGCATATCTATGCTGAGGTCTAGAATATATCCTGTTACTGACTGAATCAGGATTGCAAGCCAAACATCTGGGTCACATCAAGTCACAAGCATTGGTTAGAAACTATTCTTTAGCCAATGATTGCTTTTTAACACTGCCCCCAGTTATCTACCAGCCTGTCTGAACAGAACGTGTCCTCTGAGTAGATATTTGGCTGAGGAAGTGTTAGCAAGCGCAAGATGTGCCCGAATTCAGTACTGCCTACTCTGTTTCACTATACATCACCAACTCCACCTGATAAGAACAAGCGGTCTTGAGCTAGATTGATAATCCTGAGGGAAACTGACATTATAAAGTTGTTTCAAATAATAAGTAGTTATCAGTTTAGCTGAATATTACTTATGTGTCCACGTTATTTACCCTGACATATTTATGTCCCTATTTCTTTGCCTCTGTGGATCTACCTGTCTCACTCTGTGCATCTATTTTTAACAGATGACGTGACAGCTCTGACCTGCCCACTCAGTGCCAGTTACCTTGGTTACCTTGGAAAGTACTGAAGGCTATTTCACTGCTCCCCAGAAGAACAAGTAAATGTTACATGTTAAATGTAACATTTACTTGTTAAATGTTACATACTGAAGCGTTTTAGAAGTTTATGCGCTTCATTTTTATGCCTCACCTGTCATGGCAGAGAGATCAGCATTGTTGGTGAAGATGTTCTTTATTCCCAGTTCCTGCAGAGTGTCCTTCAGATCGATCTTCTGCTCCACCTTAAACCTGAACAGGTGACGTTTGACTTAGAGTTGAGTTTGGGATTCAAAAAGGGGACTATATAATGTAAATGGTCTAAAGGCGCAAAGGTGACAGATGAAGCTAGCGAAACATACCACAACATAAGTGAGAGGTGGTGAGTGGACTTGCACATATATAAAAGTCTCACCTCGGTAGGTAGACTTCCACCTTCTGTCGTTTGACATTGTTAGCCCACTCCTCCAGCAGCGGCGCTTTAATGATGGGCTCCAGGGAGGCCAGAGGCACTTCCTGCCGAGGAAGAACGATCATCATGGACATGTCCTCTCCCTCGTAGGGCATTTCCAACACCTGGTACACACCGCCGGCCTCCTGTGAGCCGTCACTGAATTCGCCTGATAGGGAGGAAACATACAAATCTGTGGGTATTGATGGATATATGCGAAAGCTTGCACGCTCATATTGTATGTGCTGGTGGCCCCCTGTAATGGGTTTGTGAAGTTCACTGAGGAGGAACATTTACAAATGGAAGCACGCTGAGGCGCAATGATTGGCTGTATTGATTACAGAGTGCGTGTGGTCATTT